CTACCACGCCCGGTTGATTTTTTGATTTATTGTAGAGATGAGGTCTCGCTGCCCAGGAGGATCTCGAACCTGCTGGCTCAGGCAATCCACTCACCTCAGCCTCCCAAAGGCGCGGGATTACAGGCTGAGCCACCGAGCCCGGTAATAAATAAATTTTTAAAAATAGCCGGGCATGGTAGTGTACGCCTGTAGTTCGGCTGCTTGGAAGGATCGCATGAGCCCAGCAGGTCAATGCTGGGTTGAGCAGCATGCCACTGCACTCTGGCCTGGGCGACGTAATAAGACTCTGACTTAAAAGACAAAACAAGCCTTCAGAGAGGCCCACAAAATCTCCTAAAGACCTTTCAGGTCCTGTCCCTTGGCCCTGACCTTTCCATGCTATCATTCCAATAACACAGATGATCCCATTAATACCTCTTGGGCCCATTTAAAAACCACCGAGGGGCCACTGCCTTGCTAGACTCTGGTGGGGGCTATGTGCTCTTTGAACTATGGCTGTCACCATACTTCCTGGCTTTGGTCCCCCTCCTCCACCTTGGAAAGGTGAATTTTCTCTTTCTCTCTCTCTCACTAATTTACTTTTAAATAAACTATATTTTCAAATCTAAGAAAATAAAAACAGTTGAGACTAAATGCATGCCTGACAGCAAAAAGGGGCAACTTCTCCTGAGATGAACAAGAAGCATTCTGAGGTGATCTGGTCCTTGAGAGAAATACTTTGATGGCAAATTGGGCTTAGGAATTGAGACAAGCCCAGGGACCCCAAAAGTACCTGGACACAGGTCGGACTCCTGACCTGCCATATTGAAAGGCCAGCTTTGATGGGAATTCCACGGGTTAAAACCTGCACACTGACTCCGCCGGCCAACACGCTTGCACTCTCTTAGCTCCAGGGCCAAGACCTGCCAGCATTAGGATTAATGTAATATGGTGGGAACAACTCCAGACATAAAAAGGCCTGGACTCAAGCACAGAGCAGGGCCCAGACACCATGGACACTGTCTTGGTCCAGCTGCTGACGGGCTTGTGATCTCAGGCCAGTGTCTGGCGCCTCTGCTTCTCCCTTCCAGGTAGCAGCCAAGAGAGACACGAATGACATGACTGAGATAATACAAGTACCCACATCCTCATGTTGCGGTGAGGACTCAATCAATCCATCAGTCATCTCAACGGTGCCTGGCAGCTGGTAAGGACGGCATTATTGCTTGCAGCTACTGTGGTATAATTTTCTATTTTCCCATTAACCTCGAGGGCTGTGGTTTGATCATCTGAACGATGGGTTCTCAACCCCAAGCAATCCTGCATGCCCAGGCCTGCCAGGCAACGCATGTAGACAAGCCTTGGATGCCACAGCTCAGGGAGGGGGAGTGCATGCATGCTGCAGGTATGGAGTAGATAGAGCCCAGGGATGCAGCTAGACCTTCCACAATGCACAGACCAGCCCCCACAGCAAAGAACTGTCCAGCTCCAAGTGTCCATAGTGCTGAACTTGAGAAATCTACATATGGAAAAAGCAGGTGTATAACTGGGAATCTTGTTACTCATCCGAGAAGGAGAAGGCGGTGAGAACAAGATAAGGTAATCAATGTCGAGATTTAGCAAGTGCTCAGGAAGCATTAGAAATTTTTTTAGGAATTAAGTTTTGGGCGAGGCACAGTGGCTCACGCCTGTAATCTCAGCACTTTGGGAAGGAGAAGTGAGAGGACTGCCTGAACCCAGGGGTCTGAAACCAGCCTAGGCAACTAGGTAAGACCTCGACTCTACAATAAATCAAAAAATTGGCATGCTTATAGTTCCAGCTACTTGGAAGGCTGAGGCAGAAGGATCACCTAAGCTCACTAGGTCGAGGCTACAATGGCTGCATCATGCCACTGCACTCCAGCCTAGGTGACAGAGGGAGACTCCAACACACACACACACACACACACACACACACACAATTAAATTTGGGCTAGGCATGGTGGCTTGCACATGTAACTCTGGGGAGGGGTAAAAAAATATTTTTTATTACTACTCTTTTTGCAGTGACATGAGCATTGCTCACTGCAGCCTCTAACTCCTGGGCTCAACCAATCCTCCTGCATCAGCCTCCTGAGTAGCAGGGACTACAGACATACATCACCATACCTAGCTAATTTTTTTTTTTTTTTTTTTTTTTTTCAGA